TTTTACCATTAAGTTGACTTGAAATGAAACCAAACATACAGAGCCATTGGCTTCTATGCCAGCTCTGAGTAGCTGGCAGCAAGGCATAGGCACAGGCAGCTCTATATGCTCTGTCACAGAAGTCTACCACAGCTCAGAGGGCTGTCCTTACACACAAGTTAGGTCTGGAAGGCACAACATTTGTTTCACCTAAGAGGTTGGAAAAGAAAGCAAAACCAAAGCCTGGAAGCATTCACCTCCCCTTAGAACAAAAGCTAAATACAAATCTGAAGTGGCTTGAAAAAATGAAGAATTCTTCTAATGTCTTTATAGCTTGTGAATGTGTGGAGAGAACTCCCTTCAGTAGGGATTCCTGAACTTGGACCAGCTCAGAGGTTTTATAACAATGTTGAAATTAGGAAGGATTAATATCAACTATGTATTTTCTTCTGCTCCTTGACACAGAAGTAATCCAGCTAAAGTGCTGCAGAGATTTTTTCATGCCAGTATCTTCTGTACAACAATGAAAAATTGTGACAGATTTGCCAAAATGTGGGGAAAAACTCAATTTAGAGGAAGGCTACTGGTTTCTTTGTATTGTTCCACTAGGCAGTGGGATTTTTTAGTAGCTTTTAAACTACAACTTCAGAGCTGAATAGGATGCCAGTTGTTCAGGCACTGCAGCATTCACTACAGAACATCTATTGGCATCGTAACTGCTTACTGTAAGACAAAGGTCTATCTGTTAATGCTTCAAGATGCTGTATTCTGCACTTTTATTTCCTTCTTGGAAAGCAAGCAGGATGTTTGCTGGGAAGTTACTTTTCTTGAGAAATGTTGGAAGCTACATAGCTTTTTGGATGAGCCACTTGAAGAGGGAATTATGTCATTTTTACATAAGCCTATCTGGTGATGCTAAACCTAGATAATCAGCTTTGATGGAGATCAAGTCTTTGCTACAAACATATGAAAATATCTAGCTGGCTTATTAGCCTACAATTCACATCAGAAAATGAGATAGGCTTCAAAATCGTGTGACTTTAGAAGCTTTAAATCATATATATATGAGATATTTTCCTATTTTTGCTCTACCTAATTGGAAATGAACTGCAAAAGCTTTCGGAACACTTCCTGAAACTAATCATTTCACAAGTTTATGAAGCCACCAAAGCTGTGAAGGCATTAATTTCTTTGATGAGAGTTCAGTAAGACATGAGAAGAGAGCACTTAGCTCATTTCCATATCACTAAATGGGACTCAGCATCTTGGAATCCTGTGAGAAAGAACTTCAATACTACTACAGAAATGGGGTGTTTTACATGGATTTTAGAATGGCTACAGAGTGGCAAATTGTAGCTGGATGAGAAAGTGAATGTTTGTAATTAACAGGACCCTAGAGGAATATATTTGGCAAAAAAAATAGGTTTCCTCAACAGTGCTTTTTATAGCTTGTCCTTAGACATGCAGAACAAAACACCCAAGTGTAAAATCTTCATTATCCTTACAATGATGCAATTAAGACCTTTTCTGAAAGCATCAGAATACCACAGGAATTTACTTTTTGCAGCGATCTGGCAGTTTAAAAAAAAGAATTGAAGGTCACAATAAATAGGTGGCAATTAAGATTTCAAGACTAAGTGGATTGTCACATCAAGAAGCATTTTCATGTCCATAGGGAAGAAAAGGCAGGAGAATTACGATCTGCTTTCCCTTCGCATTGGTTGCAACTCTCAAGTCTTGAAAACACTTAAGAGATGCTTTGTGCTTAATCATAGAATCAACTGGGTTGGAAAAGACCTCAAAGGTCATCGAGTCCAATCCTACCGTGGTTACTGGACCATGGCACTAAGTGCCACATCCAGTCTCATCTTCAAAACCTCCAGGGATGGTGAATCCACCACCTCCCTGGGCAGCACATTCCAATCTCTGATCACTCTCTCCATAAAAAATCTCTTCCTAATATCTAACCTAAAGCTTCCCTGGCAGAGCTTGAGTCTGTGCCCTCTTGTCCTGCTGCTGGTTGCCTGGGAGAAGAGACCAACCCCCACCTGACTCCAACCTCCTGTCAGGGAGTTGTGGAGGGTGATAAGGTCTCCACTGAGCCTCCTCTTCTCCAGGCTAAACAACCCCAGCTCCCTCAGCCTCTCCTCACAGGAGAGTGGAGCAGCCTGTCCAAAGTCACTCTCTGGTTCAAAAAATAACATCTTCACTGAAGTTCTTACATCCACTCTGAAGATGTGGAGTCACCACAAAATATTTGCAACTGACAAACAAGAGTCTAATAATGAAAAAAAGGTTTCAATAAACATATAGCCAACAACCTGCAGGAACTTAGAGATAACCACTATTTCACAACACCCAAGGTCACCCTCCCCCCAGGGTTTAAAGGTTCACTTTGCAGGTACAGTGCTAAGTACAGCACAGAAGGACAAACATGCCTGACATTCACAAGACATTGATCTTAATTGTCATCTCCAGGAAAAGGGGGAGTGCTGTCTGCTGTCTCTGGCACGAGCCACCTCCTCTTTTGCCCTGACTCTGGTTCTCTTTGGACTCACCTTTGAGTTGATTCAGTGTTCTACCAATGGCTTATCTGGTATTTTCTTTCCCCCACTCCCACAGCTTTCTTTTAGGTTCAAGAGTTAATTCACCTCAGGGAAGCTCAAAAAAGTGCCAGAGATGATGTAAGGGTAAGTGGTGGGAATGCATGGCCCCTAGCAGAAAACAAGGTCAATTGGCACTTGCCCTGTCTCTAATTCACCCTTGGGACTAGAGTGTCAATACTCAAGAGAGTTGGTCAATCAGGGCTTACACTGATGCCATGGGAGACATTGCAGAAGATTTTGAAAGAAAACACTAAGTGCCATGAATATGTGAGACTATATTTTAGTGAGGAATTCGATTAAACCTACCACCTTGGGCTACATCATAAAAAAACTGCTCTAAAGTTGTAATAAACAAAAGCTAATTCAAAGTGAAGGAACTTATAGAGGTAAAACCCAGAGAAGATCCAGTGCAATCTCTCAGTAATAAGTACCAAATACACCTTATAAAATTATGTTTCCTGCTCATTATAATGACAATTAGAATTTAGAAATACATATGCTACAGGCTTAATTTAACAAAACAAACCTATGAAAATGGCATGAAGGAATCAACAGTTCAAATAATGCTTTAAACTTTATTAGCTTCCAGTTAAGGGTTGTCCTCATTTTGTTCCCAAAGAATAAAGGCTACTAAAACTTTCAGAAATGGAAATCTATAACAAGTTAAATGATGCAGCATTAGAGCAGGATAAACAAATGCAGGTCGTTGAGATATGAATTTTTAAGGTACCCAAACAAAATGTCACATTAGTTCTCCATAGTTTTTAAAAACGTTTTTTTGCATCTGAATTTCCATTCCTCTTGCTGTACCATTGGACAGGATTCACAAATAGCAATGATTGTTGGGCATTTTGGTTTGTTTTTTCAAAACTCTCCTTTTCTTCTTGGATGTGCTTAACAGTCAGAACTGCCTGTTGACAGCTGTCAATCTGTCGAGGGGAACAGCGCCCCCTCCTGGCTCCAACGGGATGAGAACAAATTTGAACAATTTCATGTGAAAAATCTGTACAGGAGAAACAAGGTAAGAGTGAAAATACTCTAAAACTAGGCATTTAGTCGTAATAAATAGGCAAAGGAATATTAATGCCACTACAGTATCTTGACCTATTCAATTGCAGGGGCTGAGGAGTAATTTCAGAAGGGTTCTCGTGGGCCATGAGGTAGCTCATGCAGCACACCATGCAGGTGTGGCAGCCAGTGTGTCTTCATCACTGTATGCAGTGGCAGCACTCCAAATACTTGCTAACACAGAGAATCACTTGACAGCAAGCCTCCTGTCCCACTGCTTCCTCCTCTGGTGTGGGCATAGAGACCAATGATCCAAGTCCCTATCTGTTCTGGGCTCGTGCTGCCTGAGCAACCCTTTGTAATTTCTCCTGATGAAAATGTGGTGGGTGCAGTGCATTATCTGATAGGCCAACTCTGCAACAAGTTAGCCTATCCTGTGTAATTATATCACCACTTTGGCCCAGAAACATCTTTAGAATCTCAGTACTGGTACCTTTAAGCTTGCTCATATTTTCAGGAAAAAGTGTCTGGAATGTGTTGCTACCACTGTGTTTTGCCATACCAAGCTGTACATCATAGAATCATAGAATTTAAGGGTTGAAATGGACCTTACAGATCATCTAGTCCTAACTCCTCCTGCCCTGGACAGTGACAGCTCCTCACTAGGTCAGGTTGCTCAAGGCTTCATCCAGCCTGGCCTTGAACACTGCCAGGGGGAACATCACTCAGGTGAGAATTGTTTCAGGGATCCTCAATGTAAACTATTGCCAGATCATGTTATCTGTGTGCTTTTACTTCAAAGATATTTTTATGAAAAGTTTCAAAAGTGATCATTGCTACCCTAGAAAACACAAACTCAAGGTCATTTTCTGTATGAGGTAAGTGACACTAATCAGTGAAATTAAAACTGCAACCAGACAATTCTGCTGAAGGGAAAAACCAAACCAAACCAAAAAACCACTAACCAATACACCATGTAAGTAATACCACTGAGATGGACTGAAATCAAACCTTATTCTGCAAGGTGAAGAACAAATGTGGGTGTTCAGACATCTCTGTACAGATTAGCTTACTAGACTGGGATCTTTTTTCTCCAGTAGCTTTTTCTGGTAATGCTTGATAGGTACAGGATGGAGTGCAATTGCTTTTTTAAACAAAATCCTAAGTGCTACATATGCACAGGACAGACTTAACTATTAATACATATCTCTTTTGTTGCATCATGTTGAGAAGGAGCATTACTTCAGCCATAGATAAAATTGCAGTAGTAATGGGGCAGACTGGAGCAATGCTGAAGTTTCCTGAGTGGGAAAGCAGACTGAAGTGATGGTGTCATCTGTAGTCTCTCCCTCCAAAGAGATCAACTTCACAGATAAATTCACACCTGAATATAAATGTTGTTGACATTCATAAGATCCCATTTTCTTCAGCTGGTTGTTTTGAAGGATCTAGCCCAAGCTGCTTCATCCGCACTGCGATATCAAACAGGTAATCATAACACTCACACCTAAAATAAACAGGGGAAAAAAAGTGAAATGTAAGTAAGGCTCAAGTCTTACCATGTTTTATGAAAACTAATGTTTTCCTTCCTTCAGCTTTATATCCCTAATGGCACAGTCTGAATGCACAGCTCTATTATTGCTTATTTCCAGTGCTGTGCTATGGAAAGTGCATTGATTTGCTGCATTTCCATCAGCAGACGAAGTACATTCCAAAAATGGGACTAGGGAAGACTACACAAACACTACTGGCAGGTGTCATATAAAAGCAGAAAATGCCTGCAGGCTTCATGTGAGGAGGGACTTGTCCATATGAAAGGAAAATGTTGGCAACACTATCAGCCAGCACTGATATGAAAGGAAAACCAAGAGATGGATTCATGGATGAACCCATTCCCCAAAGCTCCCTATCCACGCAGTGAGGCTTTAATGTCTGAATCACTGTCCATGGGTTGGAAATACACATGACATTAAGTTCATTAAGACTTTGAGGCATAATGGCAAAAGACAGCAAACTCCTGAATCGCACTCACATGGTTTTGGCTTTTTCCCATGTTGCTCCCCACACATACACCCCGTGACGCCTGACCAGCACAGCACATGAGTCTGGGTACTTCTCCATTGCTCGTGCCATTCTCTCCTTGAGATCCTTCTCTTCTGGTGTGTTCTCAATAATGGGAACCACTAGTGTATCATCATATCTGAAAGAAAAAGGAACGTTCATGTACTTCAAAAAACACTGTGCTTGGATAGATGAAGGTTTTCCCTAAGAATGAGATTCTCCTTTGAGTGAGTAAAGATGTTAAATTCTCAGCACTAGTGATCTAATACTCTTTTCTTGTGAGTCATGCTGTGATATAAAAGTTCTCAGGAACACCTCTCACCCCCAAACATACACTATGCTGGCAATACCTGAGCTACACTTGAGGCACAAAAAGAAAGTAACACTTTAATCTATTAGGTGCAGCTGTTTATTCACATATCACTTTGTAGTTCAGTCCCTTTACAGCTCTTTCAAACTCTTCATCCTGTATTGGCATCATTTACAAGCTTTATCTCAGTTTAAATTATTTAAGAGAGTCATATCATGAAGAAGGAAATGAAGCTGTTTGCTGGAGAGCAGGAAAAAAAATTCACTTAGTTAGTCCAAAAAGCCCCTGGAAGATTGTCCTGCTAAGGCATATAAATAGAAAGTAGAATCAACACATGAAAAATAAATTCTCTGTGATGGAGTCATTGGTGGGCTACATGTGATCTTAAGAGAGCCTGAGAACCCCAGTTCCAAAGACAAGATGATGCATGTTACTCAGTGGAACTTGCCTAAGAGTTTCTTCTGAAGGAGGACTGGGATATTTGGCATTGTTTGAACCTTAATTAACACTGGCAGAAACTTGTTCAAATAGTTTTAATAAGTCCCCAGTTCGGGTTCAGGTTTATCACTGAGATCACATAGATATTTCATGAGTAGATGCTAGTAGTACTTATTTTATAAAACACAGAAAGAAAGTGATGGCAAAAAAAACCCAAAACCAACAGCTTCAAACTAGAAACTGAAATCTTAGCCTTTACAGTTTTCAATACTGATGCTTTCTCAAGGAAGCCTATAAAGGTAGTGAAAGAAGATAATTAGGTGGCATTTGTAGGTTTACTTTGACTCTTACATATCCTGACCACTAAAATTAGACTTGGAGCGTTTGCTACTAGCGAGGCCAAAAGAGCTAAGGGATCAACTTCCTAGGTTCTGCTTTCTACTTGCACATGAGTTTGGAAGCAGGCAAAAATACTATAACTGATCCCTAACCATAAATTCTTATCAAGAACTAGTATCTATAAAACGTCAAAGATTCTGAATGAGCTAAATACTTGATATCTCTTCAGTTTTGCTGAAATAGTAGCAGCCTACATTTAGTCAAACATTCACTTAAAACACCTTGTGACAGTCTGAGACTTTCAAAGTTGTTTATTACTCATCTAATTCTCCTTCCACAGAAGTCAGAGGTAAAACTACTCTGGCATCACTGGCGTCAAATTTAGCCCACCATATACTTCTGATTATCCTATCTGAAGCATTTTCCTGGATAGCTTCCAGAAATTCTGTAACTAGAAACAACATACTATCAACCTCTTTTCTGAAAGATCACATTTTGTACTATCAAATTCCTTTTTAATTCAATGCCTTGTGTGAGGCAAGACAGTCTAGTATGGATGAATATGTGCCCATGGACCATGTCATCTGGAGCTTTGATTCCTTTAGTTTTTCTGGTAAATTAGCAGGATGACACAGGGCAACTTGCAGATATGGAACACAATAAATACAATGGCTCCTGACTAACACTTAGGAATGTCTGAGAGTTCAAAATGCACATCCAAAACAGAAAACTGAAGTGGCTTTTTTTAAAACCAGTGTTGTTAGACAATTCAATAAAAGGGCTGCATTTTACCACATTAAAAATGCACATGCTAATGCTGACAAGAAGGTAAAGTTGGCAAGTCAACAAAATGGAATAAAATATACCCAGGCATAAAATCACATATGGCTTGCTCCCTTGCCAAAGGGCAATAGTTAGACAAAAATTAACATCAAAAAGTGGAAAGAATTTAGCATTTCAATTTCTCATCTACTTGTCACATATTATATAAATGTTGTTTGCAGATCCCAATTCAACACTCTGTGGGTGGAGACCTCAAAACAAGCCATCACACATAATTTGGAATAACTCAGCACTTACCTCAGAGCTCATCCTTGAAAAGTAATAACATTATCTTTAATGAGCTGTTTATTCTGAATTTTCTTTCAAACTCTGTCAAGTAAAATCTGAAATCCTCTACTCTCTTAACATGCCCTAAACTAGCACAGGCAGTGATATGTGAAGTCCACCCAAATGTAGTTTGTACGTGCTATCAATCCAAGCTAGTGCTGGTTGGCTCCAGTTTCAGTTCCACATTGTACAGATGTGTTAACACAGAGTCACAGAATCATAGGATTTAAGAGCTGGAATGGACCTTACAG